AAAAAAAAAAAAAAAAAAAAAAAAAAAAAAAAAAAAAAAAGATTTTTTTTTAAAGTGTAGTAGTATATGCAAGTCATAGATTAGCAGAAGAGACAACATACAGGCACACACACATACATGCTCACCTGCTCCCTGATTTATTTAGCCAAGGAAATAGAACTGAACAGAAGCCAGGTGGCTACACAAAGCAGGAGAGATGCAGCGTATCTTTGTTGGCTTTCCCCATGTCTCTTGATTCCTTATGGGGTGTGCAGCTGCTGGTGACATACTTTACTCAGTCAGTGTTCCAGAGCTGATCACAAAGCCAAATCTCTCTCACTACTACCCTTTTACATTCAGGGTCACTTCATCAGTACCTTTCTGAAGAATTTACACTAAGACGGTATGTGTTCATGTTTAAGGGAATAGCAAAGAGTGTTGTAGGTTAGAACGCCTACATGTCAAAGAGTGAACCAAACTGATCAGCAGCAAGGGTACATCCCCCTCTTGGGACAGGATGCACCTAGTGCCCTAGTATCTCTGCCTCCAGATTTTCCTGTTCTCCACAGTGTCTCTGACAGGCAGAGAGTAGTGTCTCTGCCTCTAGATTTTCCTGTTTTCCACAAAGATCAGAAGAGATTTGGGGAAATTAGATTGTTTTCTCATAAAGTCACTTAAGTTTGTAACTTTTTTTTTTTGTGGCCGGTAAGGGGATCGCAACCCTTGGCTTGGTGTCGCCTGCACTGCGCTCAGCCAGTGAGCGCATCGGCCATCCCCATACAGGATCCAAACCTGCGGTGGGAGCGCCACTGCGCTCCTAGCGCTGCACTCTCCTGAGTGCACCACGGGGTCGGCCCAAGTTTGTAACTTTTTTAAAGACAAAAAAAAAAAAAAAAAAGGAGGGGGATATACTTCCATTTGATTACAAGTACTTCTTAAAGACTGTAAGAAAATTGGATTAGATGTCCTTTTTAGTTCCACAGCTCTGTGATCAATCCTAGAGCCACCCTGAGCTGAATAAATAATGATGTCAAGAACTTAAAATTTTTTCGGGGGATATGGCCATGGTAAATATTTAATAGAATTACAGATTAGGTTGGAGATCTTCACTTTCCTTAAAAAAAATGCATTTACCTGGATTATTGAATGATTTCTTCATTTAACAAAGAATAGCACCTACTTTGAGTAGTACCATACCATGATCCACAGACTCTAAAAGCTCACATTCTAGTATAATGAAACAAGACTACTGATTGCTAGAAATCAAATGAAAGGTCGTAAGAGTGCAAAACCATAATTCTCTGGAGATTCAGAGACTGGAGACAGCCACAGCCCATCAGAGTCCTGGATCAATGGAACTCAAGTGATGAATTTGGCTGCTGTGGCTATAGTGCAAGCCCAGGGTTTTACATACACAGCATCAGCAAAGGCCTGTGGATCCAGGCATTAGCAATGATTACTCACAATTTTGTGCAGAGGCCTGGGACTGGAGCAGCAGACT